CGAAAAAAAAATGCATAAAAAGGCTTTTATGAAAACACTGAATAAAAATGCTTACCAAACACACAAACCATTCACAATTGCTAAACTGGGCTAAAATAGAAGGCTCAGAGTGATACTAAATAAAGAGCCATTTGGGAGCCGTAAGAGCCGGCTCTTCTAAGGGAGCCGAGCCAAAAGAGCCGAATCTTTGAAAAGAGCCGAACTTCCCATCACTATATTGAAGTACTGTTCCTGTCCCTTGTGATGAGTTGTTTTGCAGGTAGCCTGTCATGTGTTGTAGTCACATGGTTCATGTCATATGATAAACCAGGAAATACAAACAGGTCGTTCGGGTTTTGGGTCTGTATTACGTTTCGCCGTTAGAAATATATATAGTGCGGAAGTCGGTGCATACTGACATTACTGCTTTAGATTAACGTTTACTGATCACAGTGGACACGCACACGTCTGTGAAGTTCACTTGTGATCGATCATGCAAGTGACTCGGAGTCAGATATCGCTGTTTCTTTGTCTGCTATCATGCGCATCATCTCTCGGGACTCGATATACGCCCGACTGGGCCAGTTTGGACTCCAGACCTCTTCCTGAATGGTACGACGAGGTGAAGTTTGGGATCTTCGTTCATTGGGGGGTGTTTTCAGTGCCTGCGTTCGGCAGCGAGTGGTTCTGGTGGTACTGGAAGGGAGCACAAAGCCCCAGCTATATCCAGTTCATGACCAAAAACTACCCTCCTGGATTCAGCTATACAGACTTCGCACCTGAATTCCACGCGCAGTTTTTTGATCCGGACGAGTGGGCTGATGTCTTCGAAGCTTCAGGAGCAAAGTACGTAGATATGGGTTGCGGTGATGGTTCTTGAGTTCTATATATTTATGCTTTTGCTTGTCATTCTCCATTCAGATATGTGGTCCTCACAAACAAACACCACGAGGGGTTCACAAACTGGGGGTCCCCGTACTCCTGGAATTGGAATTCTGTTGATAATGGACCTCACAGGGATCTGGTTGCAGATTTGGGCGCTGCGATAAGAAAGAGGTATTGGCCACATTTACTAAACAGGGCAAATTAGCGTGAGAGCGCAAACAAGCAGAGCCAATGATAGCCTGACATGCGGGTCTACTAAAAACAAGAAGAGTAAGTTTTTGGCGTTAAATAATGGCACAAAAACCTGCCGCAAAAAAGTAAATCACCCTGCATGATACATTTAAAAACTCCCATAAATTTGCGTCTGAAAGGAAAACTACAAATGCGAGGTCAACTGCAAAAATAACTCTGTCAACACCTTTTCATCGCTAATGTCAGTAAATCCTTGCTAAATCTGGCACTGTGTGCTAGACTGGTTCTAAAAGCTACATGAATGTATGAGTGAGGTTTTGAGTAGTTTCTTGAATTGTATCCAAAACGTTCAGTGAACTGTATCATTCTTTGGCAGCAACAGTGGAAATGTTTAATATCTTTTTTAACTTTTTGTATTAGGTCTCTGCATTATGGACTCTACAACTCGCTGTATGAATGGTTCAATCCCATCTACCTGAGTGACAAGCGGTCTGGTTTCAAGACTCAGGATTATGTTGAAAAAAAAGCCATGCCAGAGCTCTACGAACTGGTCAACAGGTAAATTTGCATCAGTCATGTGATGATACAGTGTTGGAGAGAGCGAAGAGCAATTGTTTATGACACAAGTCTGACTTGTCTGTTGTATTTGTCTGTGCAAAAATCAACCTTTACAATCCACATATATGGTGTGAGATTAACTGGTGATGTTTTTGATGATTCAGGTACAAGCCGGACTTGATTTGGTCAGATGGGGACTGGGAAGCACCTGACACTTATTGGAACTCTACAGGATTCCTAGCCTGGCTCTACAACGACAGTCCGGTCAAAGTGAGATCATCACATAATATTGTTCTTATTTTAAAACTGTGTCTCAAATTGTAATTCAGATCATAATGCCTGCATTATTTCACTCTTTACAGGATGTGGTGGTGACCAATGACAGATGGGGGTTGGGCTGTTACTGTAAACATGGAGGTTATTATAATTGTGCTGACAAGTTCACTCCTGGAGAACTGCCCAATCACAAGTGGGAGAAATGTCAGTCAGTGGACACAATATCATGGGGGTATCGCCGAAACATGAAGCTAAGTGAAGTGATGGATCTACCATCCATTATAAAGGTGAGATGTGTTGCTAATAGACCAAAGATCTTGCCTTAGATGATATTACTAGATTCTTGTGTTGTAAATAATATATATATATATATGAATAATATGAATAAAACATATGGACACAAACGCTTATGCAAGTTCATATGGTGCCTAATGACTGTCATATATTGTGACCACAGGACATGGTTTACGTCGTGGCATTAGGAGGGAATTACCTGTTAAATGTGGGGCCAACATCAGACGGCATGATTGCACCTGTCTTTGAGGAACGTCTCAGAGGGATTGGAGCCTGGCTGAAGGTCAATGGTGAAGCCATCTATGCAACTAAGCCTTGGAGAGTTCAGGCTGAGAATGCTACAGTTCCTGTCTGGTGTGTTGATGTTTTTAAACTTCCTCTTGTCTGTCTGTGCCTTACAGTTCCTTTGAAAAACTTTCAGAAGCTGAACTGCTAGGTACTTACCCCTGTAGATGTGAACACCCACTTTTGCCCTAAAAATACTTCACATGTTTGTAAACTGGTCATATGGTAGGCATAAAATATTTGAGTACTTATAGGTCTGTTTTTTTAAGCAGCCTGGATTCCTGTAAGCTGAGTCAATCATAATCTTGCTTCCTTCTCTGCCTGTTCCTGGAGTCTTAGATAAGCACACTCAAAAATGTTAGTGTTTTAAATTTTTCTTCAATTCCAGGTATACATCAAAAAGCAGCACTGTATATGCGATCTTCACCTCCAATCCCATGCAGAACTCCTTTACGCTTTCTGCGCCCAAAACCTCCAACAGTACAGTGGTAAATATTTATAAATTCATCAGAATTTAGGAATAAAATGTGTTATTTTAATGCAATAAAAATACACTTCATTGATATCATAAAATGCAGTTCATCTCTGTTCAGGTGACTTTGCTGGGGAGCCCTGAGCCTTTGAAATGGGCTCCTTTGCATTCGACAGGTCTGATTGTTCTGCTGCCCGATCTGCCTTTCACACCCGCTGACGCCTGGACCCTCAAGCTGGATGAGGTGGCCTAAAGCCTTTGACACCATTTTGTAGATTTTAATAAATTGCAATGATTTTAAGAAAGTTTTGTAAAAATGTTTTAAGGTTTTGTATAAATCAAGTTTTTTTTTATTGTATTTGATTGCACAATAAAACTGACCAACTGAATGAAACATCAGAACCAATTGTGATTTTAAGATTCTTAATTTTATGCTTTTCATAACTTGATATAACATTGCTTAAGAAATACCTCGGAACCCATGCTTAAAACTGAAATGCCATTTCAATGGATGCTAATGTCATTTAAGTATTTGTCTAAAACAAATGAATGAGATTGACTGGCCTGTGTTTATGGTGGAAGGAGATGAAGCAGAGGCGGGTGCTATTACTGCTGGACAGGATGATAAGCAGAAAGATGCAAAGCAATTATTTTGTTGCAAAACACTTTTTACTCGATATTATTTGTGGAATTAAAAATACTGTTAAATATTTGGTGGAATAAAAATGTACTGGAATAGGGAACAACAGCTCGGAAACTACAACCATTTTGTTTGGGTTTAGTACAAATTTGCAGTGGCTTATTATGGATTATGATCATTTTAAGTGATCTGCCTTAAACACGTTTAAGGGACCAATTTAGTGGTCTCATTTAATTTGCTTGATTAAATTAGTGTTATGAGTATTGTCTGTTGCATAAGTGTAATGTTATGAAACATGAAACTAAAAACATTGAACTGATTTTTTTTTTTTTTTTTAGGTTACAAAAGTTTAGGTTACCACATCCTGCAAGGAGTGAAATAATGCAGTACTTATGATCTGAATTGTTACAGTTATATTTATTTAGATTATTAATGTGCAGTATTTTTAGACATATTTATGTTTCTCTTTTAGAAAAGCAATCAAAAATATTTTGTTTTGAAATGTTGAAGTAAGTAAAGCGGTCATTTCCCCTTTTACAAAAGAAAACATTTACAGAGGCAGTGAACAATGCGGACGAGAACCGAAACCATTTTTTTTTTCACAAGAGTAGTGCTATAAACCGAGCAAATGTGACCGTCTGTGAAATCCAGGCTAAAGTCTCAAAATCTAATTATGAGATAAGCATCAAAGTTTGATTTCAACCATTGATTTCACTATGATTTCAGTCTTTGACATGGCCTACTCAGTCAATATTAAAGATATAAAGGTTATATTTTCACAGAATGTTCGACATCTTTATGAAGGATGATTTTATGTAGAAAACAGTAAATCACACACACACAAAAAAATACTTTAGCTAGGTTTTCACAGGCAGGGTCACAAATGTTGAGTTTATTGGGTTCCACATCCCTTGTGACAAGTGGTTTTGCAGGTAAGTCATGTGTTGTAGTCACATGTTGGATGGCATGATAAATCAGGAAATACAAATACAAACCTGCTGTCGGCAGAAATCTCGCTTTAGTGATTAAGTCGGTGCATACTAACATTCGCGCTAGAGTCACTTCTGCTGATCACAGGCTTGCACGTCTGTGAAGTTCACTTGTGATCGATCATGCAAGTGACTCGGAGTCAGATATCGCTGTTTCTTTGTCTGTTATCATGCGCATCATCTCTCGGGACTCGATATACGCCCGACTGGGCCAGTTTGGACGCCAGACCTCTTCCTGAATGGTACGACGAGGTGAAGTTCGGGATCTTCGTTCATTGGGGGGGGTTTTCAGTGCCTGCGTTCGGCAGCGAGTGGTTCTGGTGGTACTGGAAGGTCGCACTAAAACCTGAATACATCCTGTTCATGGTCAAAAACTACCCGCCTGGATTCAGCTATACAGACTTCGCACCCGATTTCCACGCGCAGTTTTTTGATCCTGACGAGTGGGCTGATATCTTCGAAGCTTCAGGAGCAAAGTATGTACTTAACATGGGGTTGCAGTGATGCTTCCTGAGTTCTTCATATTTATGCTTGTCATTCTGCGCAGATATGTGGTCCTCACATCCAAACACCACGAGGGGTTCACAAACTGGGGGTCCCCGACCTCTTGGAATTGGAATTCTGTTGATAATGGACCTCACAGGGATCTGGTTGGAGATTTGGGTGCTGCGATAAGAAAGAGGTATCGTGCTTGTAGGGCAGACTGATGCTAATTGTAACGATTACGAAGGCTACATTATCTTTTCACCCGGAAATTCGCTACTTCCTTTTTTTTTCTTCCATCGGGTAAAACTGACAACATACACAATACTATATGCATAAGGCTACCTCCTACATCTTACAACAACAACAACAAAAATCAATCATAACTATAACATCAGTTAGCCTATTCAATAAAGCTATTCAGTTCATCATAAAAAAAAATCTGTGGAAAACAATCTAATATTTAGTAAAACTGACATTATTTTACTTTATGAATATGATATTTTTTCAAATAGAGCGCATTTATAACCATATAACCAGGTATTTGTATAATTTTGTGACGGAGCTCAAAATGGTTAACAAAACTTGAATATACCTGAAAAATAAGAATAAAATTGTTTATGACTCTTGTTTACAGAACCAACATAACCGAGAAAACCCTTCCTTGAACTTACTAATAAAAGCATTGCAGGTGTAATACTGATATATCAACATTTATTGCACAAACACACGCGTGTGTATATATATGTGTGTGTGTGTGTGTGTGTGTGTTTCATCTAATGTAATATGTAAAGATAATTCTGCTGTTTAACATTATTATTTAAAAAATAAGTTGACATTATGTGGGCTGATGGCCTTAACAAAAGTATATACCATTGATCAACAACATCATCGCTCACAGTAGGTTTGTCTTTAAAGAGGTTTTTTTGTTGCAGTCTTTAGGTAAATAACTAGAATAACAAAGTGCAGTAAAAAACTGTTTGTGCAAATTTTGATTCCATTAATAAAATAACATAATATAATAACAAATACCAATTTGCAACATCAAGCAGTGAACAGTTTTTGTACAGCTAAAATAACTGGAAGCACAGAAAGTCCTGCATATTCAAATTAAAAAAGACCATGCCTGCTCTTACATCTCAGTAAGGTGGATGTCTCAGTAAGGCTTTGCATACATTTTTTCCCCCTGAATTTTATATAAAAATGTTGCATTTCTTATATTAGATCACTACATTATGGACTCTACCACTCACTGTATGAATGGTTCAATCCCATCTACCTGAGTGACAAGCAGTCTGGTTTCAAGACCCAGGAGTTTGTTGAAAAAAAAGCCATGCCAGAGCTCTACGATCTGGTCAACAGGTACATTTGCATCAGTCATGTGATGATAAAGGCTGGAGAACGAAGAGCATTTATGATATAAGCCTGACTTGTCTGTGGAAAGATCAACCTTTACATATATGGTGTGACATTTATGGAAGTTAACTGGTGATGTTTTTGATGATTCAGGTACAAGCCGGACTTGATTTGGTCAGATGGGGACTGGGAAGCACCTGACACTTATTGGAACTCTACAGGATTCCTAGCCTGGCTCTACAACGACAGTCCGGTCAAAGTGAGATCATCACATAATATTGTTCTTATTTTAAAACTGTGTCTCAAATTGTAATTCAGATCATAATGCCTGCATTATTTCACTCTTTACAGGATGTGGTGGTGACCAATGACAGATGGGGGTTGGGCTGTTACTGTAAACATGGAGGTTATTATAATTGTGCTGACAAGTTCACTCCTGGAGAACTGCCCAATCACAAGTGGGAGAAATGTCAGTCAGTGGACACAGTATCATGGGGGTATCGCCGAAACATGAAGCTAAGCGAACTGATGGATCTACCATCCATTATAAAGGTGAGATGTGTTGCTAACAGACCAAAGATCTTGTATTGTAAATAATGTATTTTATTTATATATATATATACATTGGGTACGGAAAGTATTCAGACCCCCTTCAATTTTTCACTCTTTGTTATATTGCAGCCATTTGCTAAAATAATTTAAGTTAATTTTTTTTCCTCATTAATGTACACACAGCACCCCATATTGACAGAACGCTTATGCAAGTTCATATGGTGCCTAATGACTGTCATATATTGTGACCACAGGACATAGTTTATGTCGTGGCATTAGGAGGGAATTACCTGTTAAATGTGGGGCCAACATCAGACGGCATGATTGCACCTGTCTTTGAGGAACGTCTCAGAGGGATTGGAGCCTGGCTGAAGGTCAATGGTGAAGCCATCTATGCAACTAAGCCTTGGAGAGTTCAGGCTGAGAATGCTACAGTTCCTGTCTGGTGTGTTGATGTTTTTAAACTTCCTCTTGTCTGTCTGTGCCTTACAGTTCCTTTGAAAAACTTTCAGAAAATCCAGTTGTGGTTACAGTGAAAAAGTGTCACCTAGAGACCATGATGAGTATAACAGGAGCCATGTGAGAAAATTATAGTTGAGGATTCATGAGTCGCTGCTTAAAATAATGACTTTAAGACCAATTGTAAGAGCCCATTCACTGTACGGGCCTTTCAAAAACTCTGCTAAGACTTCTGGGTACTTATTCTCACTTAATCTAGAGTAAACACAGTTTTTCCCTGAAATTGTGACATGTTCATAGATCATTTGATTGTCATTAATGATTTATATACATCTTGATCTGTCGAGTCTGATTTCTTGTGAGCTAGTTTTGCTTGTTTCTTTTCTGCTTGTTTCTGCAGTCTTAGTTTAGTTCTAATTAGAATGTTGTGTATATATATATATATTAAAGCTGTGAACGCCTCATTAATTTTAATGTTTTAAATTTTCCTTCAATTCCAGGTATACGTCAAAAAGCAGCACTGTGTATGCGATCTTCACCTCCAATCCCATGCAGAACTCCTTTAAACTTTTAACGCCTAAAACCTCCTACAACACGGTGGTAAATATTTCAATTCATCATTATTTAGAAAAAAAAAAAGTGTTCCTTTTTTGGTAAGATATCAATGAAATATCTGTTGCATCTCTGTTCAGGTGACTTTGCTGGGGAACCCTGAGCCTCTAAAATGGGCTCCTCTGCAGACAACAGGTCTGATTGTTCTGCTGCCTGATCTGCCTTTCACACCCGCTGACGCCTGGACCCTCAAGCTGGATGAGGTGGCCTAAAGCTTTTAAAACCATTTTGTAGATTTTAATGAGATTCTCAGGGATGTGATTTTCCCCCCCATATTTTCCTACTTGAAAATTGACACATTTGAATGGCCTTAAATAAAGTTCCAAACATAGGGTCGGGAGGAGCCTAATATTTCAGTCCTGTCAATCATTGCTGCGAGCGTGAATAAGCAGCAGTCGCTGCTCCGTCCAAGCGACAATACTTCCGGCATCCCTCCGCCTCCCCTTCTCCTCCTCCAATTCTTTTCTTTCTCTGTTCTTTTCCTCCTCCACTGCGTACATCCATAGAGGGGGGTTCTTACTCTGAGTTCGAGCCTCCCTCAAGTACAACAAGCCAAGTTTGTTTACCATTATCTAGCAGGATCGAATGGGCAGGCGCACTCGTGAAACAGTTACTAAACAAACTGAAATGCTATGTTTTTAAATGCATTCATGCATCTGTATGCATGGATTACTCCCAACCTAGCAGTTGTGTGTGGAAAGCCCTTAGCATCTCAGTCTAGCGCCAAATGAGAGTAAAAATTGGCAATGGTTAGTATATGAAACAATGTTACTCCCCAGTTGGTGTGATTTATCAAATCTCAAAGTCTTTGATTTAATTATACATACTCTGATGCACTGAATGTTTTTTTTTTTTACAGTAAATACTGTAAAACAGTAAATACATCTTCCCAAATCTTTAATGAGAACTGAAATCAAAACAGATATATATATATATATATTATCATTGTAATTTTAATGTTGTTCTGTAAAAATGTTTTTATTATTAAATACTCAGGATTTCAAATTTTGCAGTTCAATGTTATTTTCGCAATAGTAATATATTTATACATTTATGTTTCCTCGATTTTTTTTGTCCTTCGCTGATCACATGCCTGCATTTTGTATTGCACTTGTTTTAAAAAATCTAAATTGTATAAATTTTTTTATTGTAAAGATTTTAATTGCTCAATAAGAATGGCCAACTGAATGGCACATCAGAAGCAAATGTCAGTTTCAGATTGTTAATTTGGGCTTTTCATTACATTTCAAGCATTGCTTGTTTGATACCTTGGAACAACCTTGGATTAATTTGAAGTGTAATTTCAATGTAAAGTTTGTCTAAAGCAAACTTATATGATTTATATTATATTTATAATATATAATATTTATTATATAAATTGCACTTATAAGTCACAAACTTAGTCATATATAATTATTCATTAATATATATTTATATATTCATTATTAATACATGTTTTGAAAGTTGACAGGATTATTATAAGCCATATGCACATATACAGTGGAATAAAATGTTAATTCACCTGGTTGACCGTGAAACTTCCAAGTTAATGAATATAAACAATATGCACTGAGTAATTACATTAAATATTTATACTATAAAAAAAAAACATTAGTCAGCAATATTCATTGTGCATAATAAAGCTGTAGATGGTGCTTAGTAAAGAAATTGACATGAACACATGTAAATGTCTGTACTTGTACATCTCCACAGGGATTTACCATTGAATACATTATACTGTATATAATTTTATTTAAGTGTCCCCTGTGGATTATAGCAGCAATCATTATACTTTTTCAAACCCATGATTTCTGTATTAGACAACATTAAAAAGGGAAGGGTAATTAAGACACTGTATCTTCATGTCCCTCCCTCTCATTTCCCATGAAATCACTCATTGATTCAGAGGAGCAATACCCCAGCTGGACAGCAGGAGCTCTGTGCACATACTGCAGTGCTGAGCTGCAGTCACTGCGCTTGTGTGTGTGTGTTTATATGTGTCAGCCAGCCACACAGGAAACACTATTATCACTGCTACTGCTGCTGCTGCCACTCCAGACTGAATGCAAACGGAGGGGGGAGTAGAGAGAGAGAGGGAAGGAGCGAGTGTACAGGCCTTGCCAAATAAAGCCATGGGGGCCTGGGCAGTGACGGCCCTTTCTACACTATAAATACGCTGTTCTTCTGCCGGTTCGGGTTTGGTGCCTGGAGCTCTGGACCAGCGACTGCACCAGCCCGGCTCAGGAGATTCTCATCTGCTCTCAGGCCCGTCACTATGCCCCGGGTGGATGCTGACCTCAAACTGGACTTCAAAGATGTCCTTTTCAGACCAAAGAGGAGCAGTCTGAAGAGCAGGTCTGAGGTAAGAACATCTTGCTTGCTGTCTGTGTTAAAAGAAATCTGTGCCATTGGCCTTGTCTTGTTATACCTGAATAATTCACTTAAAATGAGTACCAAGGGAGCTGTGTGTGTGTGGCAAACAATGAATGTGAAAATCAGGGTGACCTTGATGAAGTCCGTCTGTCAACTGGATTTATGGGGCCTGTGTCTAAGCTTCAACCAGTGACAGTTTTTCAAGCTCAGTGGTGGACGAAGTACACAAATCAAGTACTTGAGTAAAAGTACAGATCCGTATAATAAAATATTACTCGAGTGAAGGTACAAAAGTACTTGATTTTTTATGTACTTAAGTAAAAAGTACCAATAGATGAATGTTTATTTTGCAGTTTTATATAGGCTACTTTTATCATTTAATTTTATATTAGCATATATTTTTTTATAATCCTACTGCTCAAAATACCTGGGATTTTCCCAAAATAACCAATAAGGAAATAATGAATATAATAAGGAAAATATAATTAGATTTTCATAATGATTTTTTTTCTTCTCAAACCTTGTCTGTGGTGTAAAAACACCCCTGGCCAAATGCCCCCAGAGGGCATCACTTCCCACTTTGATAATTACTGTAGTTACCATGTTCTGATCATCACATCCTTTCTTTTTCCCTCAGATGTAATCTATCTAGGTGGTTGAATAAAAATATTTGAAATTTGTTTTTAAAATATTACCTAAATTTAGCACCAGCAAGCTCATTAGCTAGACAGTTAGCATTAGCTAACATTATTGACTTATTTTCAGCATGGCTATGAATAAACATTTATATTTGTCTACTCGGCTAATTGATCCACCGTGCATAAGTTATTTTATTTAATCTGTGTTTATTTTAATGTTTTTTTTACCTAAAACATAGAGACTCTGATGTTGATGCGTCTGCATTCAAGCATTTCAGTGGGCTTAAACAGATCACCATTTACAGCAGATTTAGTTCACAAACAACTGACAGCTTTGACCTAAATATGATTTTCAGTTACAATAATTAATCCTAAAATTCGACATTAGTAACTTACTTTTAACAGCATCAGACGCGCGCGCGCTCACAAGATCTCCCGGTTCTTACTTGTGAATTCAGTTCACTGGAGACTCGCACTAAACGGATCATTTGAATCAGTGAGTTGTCGACTCGAGAACAGCTGCAATCGGGTCATTCCAATTCGTGAATGAATCGTTTGGTGCGATTTGCGAACCGATTTACCGGGTTCATTGAAAAGAATCAGTTCGTTCATGAATCAGACACCGATTCTGCGTCCCGTAGCACGTGATATATTATGAGTAACGATAAGTTGTATGAAATGTAGTGAAGTAAAAAGTACGATCGTATGCTTTGGAATGTAGTGAAGTAAAAGTAAAAGTTACTCAAAATAAAACTACTCCAGTAAAGTACAGATACTTGAAAAATGTACTTAAGTACTCGTCACTGTCCACCACTGATCAAGCTTGATCAACAGATGCCAGTATGTGTTGGCTTCTCATTATTTTTTGGTGTTGATGTGTTTTGAAGCAAGTTTTCAGGGTCGACTGACCAGGCTAAGGAAAAGCAACCTGAGAGCTTGTGCTTTGAAAACATGTTTAAAAATAGGCCTGACGCATGCCATGTCAATAGAAGCAGAATCCACTGTGGTGTTGCTCTTGGTCACACTTGGCCCACCCACAACTCATAATGGGACCAAACCATGCACGTACATGATCATCTGTATATATGGAATGCCCTCTTCCAGAAATCTAGCTGATAAACACCTTTGCTAAACTGTGATAAGGTTTGTATGCCTGTAATTATCGTATTTTTTCCGGTTAAGTTTCCAGTCTTATAGCCGAATCCATGTGTTTTCCATCTATATTCTGTTCATTTTTGCCTATTGGTTTCTACTGATGAATTCAGAAGAGGTTTCCACTGCATTTTCCCTGCAGGATGACGTAAAGTGCTGGTCAGACCTCGCTGCGGATGGCTAATCTGATGGCTGTCACTATAATGGCCGTAACGGTGGCTGTGATCATATACAGGCTCATTGAAATAGAAGAGCAGCTGAGGGCCTCTTTACTGTATAACCTGCAAATAATAATCAAGAGGATCCAAATTTTATGACTGCAATATCTGTAATATGTCTCTTTAAATAGGAAAACAGTGAATTTGTTCCCTGCGGCACAACAGCAGTAAAATAGGACGTTTATTCATAGGGCAGCGTAGTGTGACTGATATGACTGCAGCAGTTACTGGAACTGGAAATGACTGAGAACTGATTCGGAGAACCTGAGAACATCATATCAGGTTGCAACAGTTTTTGATTCAGTACAAATTGACTTAAGCCCATCACAATGTCTTAGCTGTGGATGATGATATTAATCAGAATTTGGCCATATTCTGATTACATATACAGTACATTATATATACTAGTATGTTTTTTAAATAAATGCACCAAGGCTGTATTTATTTGATCAAAATACAGTAAAAACAGTAATATTGTGAAATGTCATTATAATTTAAAATAGAAAATAGATATTTTAATATATTTTGAAACATGTAATGTATTCTTGTGATGGCAAAGCTGAATTTTCAGCAGCCATTACTCCAGTCTTCCATTTGTTGTTAATGTTGAATACAGTTGAGCCGCTTAATATTTTTTGTAAAAACAGTGATACATTTTTTAAATATTATTTTATGAACAGAAAGCTCAAATGAACAGCATTTATTTGAAACAGGCAAGTAAATAAATGTTACTGATCCAAAACTTTAAAAAAGTTATTGGCATGACCAGATTAAGTCAGTACTCCACTTTAAGGAAACAGCTGGAATATTCCTGTTTTAATCTGAATTTTGGGTCTTATAAACACTTTATTCAGAATATCCACTGAACATTATATGGGGTCCTATTATGCTTTTTTTTTTTTATATATATTTTCAGCTTCTTTTAGTGTGTAATGTTCCTGATTTTGCATGAAAAAGACATGCAAAGTTCACTCCAAAGGGAGTTGTTCATATCAGTAAGCACTGTTTCTGAACTCCCCCCCCCCCCCCCCATTTCAGGGCCTGGTTGAGTTCCGTTATTAGTGTGTAGTCACCATGTCCAAGAAGACACCGTTTCACAGATCTAATATATGCTGAAACACATGCAGCTGTTTACGTTTACAGACATAACCGATTATGTTTATGTGAACTTTGGGGTTTGACATAACCTTGTGTGTATTATTATACTAATAATATATTATTATACTAATAAACTTTATACTTTTATTATACTCATTTTTTTCTCAGGCTTTTGCTTAACTTGAAAACACCTTTTTGTTTTGTTTCTGTTATGTTTTCTTTTGTTTGGTGATGTTTGTATTACGTATTGTAGGGTAGTACTTAATGATTTTAAATTTTATACATGTCTTAATGCTTTTTGTTGGTTGATATTTCTGGTGTTTTGGCTGTGCAGCACCTTGGTCAGCACTTGTTGCTTTTAAGGTGCTATATAAATAAACTTGACCTTGACCTATTAGACAGTTGACATGAAA